ACATGCATTTATTGTTGATAAAAAGTGACTGACAACCACTGAACAAAGAAAAATACTAAATTATGCATTTTCGGGGCCGTCCGGGTTTGGTGGTTGTCCGGTTTTGGTGGTCCCCTACCAGTAAAGATATTGACCCCTTAGAGTCTAAATGTAATCCAAACAAGGGTCTTCATATAAGTTTGCTATATACCATGTTTGATTACAATATCTCATTCCTAACTCTAGTTATTACCAGAAACAATTTCTGGCAATTTCACATGATATATACAAATACTAGAACAAAATGATACATAAAATGATGTTCTAGATTAAAAACAAATATCGACCACATGAAATAAGTCAAACCTATGTTAAACATGGAGGTGAGCATGTCTAGGATATAACTAATGGAAATTAAGCATGTAAGCTATCATACATGGTTAAAATACAAAAGCTCATCTGTTAGCAAAAAAAATAAACTGCCTCGTTTTGCTCTTCTACAATGGTGAAAGCTAGGTTTAAATGTATGTTATAAGACACAACTGGTGAAAGCTAAGTTTAAATGTATGTTATAAGACACCACTGGTGAAAGCAAGGTTTAAATGTATGTTATAAGACACCACTAATGAAAGCTAGGTTTAAATGTATGTTATAAGACACAACTGGTGAAAGCTAGGTTTAAATGTATGTTATAAGACATCACTGGTGAAAGCTAGGTTTAAATGTATGTTATAAGACACCACTGACTAAAGCTATGTTTAAATGTATGTTATAGACCCCACTGATGAAAGCTAGGTTTAAATGTATGTTATAAGACACCACTGGTGAAAGCTATGTTTAAATGTATGTAATAAGACACCACTGGTGAAAGCTATGTTTAAATGTATGTTATAAGACACGCCACTGGTGAAAGCTATGTTTAAATGTATGTTATAAGACACCACTGGTGAAAGCTAGGTTAAAATGTATGTTATATGACACCACTGATGAAAGCTAGGTTGAAATGTATGTTATAAGACATCACTGATGAAAGCAAGGTTTAAATGTATGTTATAAGACACCACTGATGAAAGCTAGGTTTAAATGTATGTTATAAGACACCACTGATGAAAGCTAGGTTCAAATATAAGTTATAAGACACCACTAATGAAAGCTAAGTTTAAATGTATGTTATAAGACACCACTGATGAAAGCAAGGTTTAAAATTATGATATAAGACACCACTGGTGAAAGCTAGGTTTAAAATTATGTTATAAGGCACCACTGATGAAAGCAAGGTTTAAATGTATGTTATAAGACACCACTGATGAAAGCTAGGTTTAAATGTATGTTATAAGACACCACTGATGAAAGCTAGGTTCAAATATAAGTTATAAGACACCACTAATGAAAGCTAAGTTTAAATGTATGTTATAAGACACCACTGATGAAAGCAAGGTTTAAAATTATGTTATAAGACACTACTGGTGAAAGCTAGGTTTAAAATTATGTTATAAGGCACCACTGATGAAAGCAAGGTTTAAATGTATGTTATAAGACACCGCTGATGAAAGCTAGGTTTAAATGTATGTTATAAGACACAACTGGTGAAAGCTAGGTTAAAATGTATGTTATAAGACACCACTGATGAAAGCTAGGTTCAAATATAAGTTATAAGACACCACTAATGAAAGCTAAGTTTAAATGTATGTTATAAGACACCACTGATGAAAGCAAGGTTTAAATGTATGTTATAAGATACCACTGGTGAAAGTAGGTTTAAATGTATGTTATAAGACACCACTAATGAAAGCTAGGTTAAAATGTATGTTATAAGACATCACTGGTGAAAGCTAGGTTTAAATGTAAAACACCACTGATGAAAGCTAGGTTTTAATGTATGTTATTAAACACCACTGATGAAAACTATGTTTAAATTTATGTAATTAGACATCACTGATGAAAGCTAGGTTTAAAAGTAAGATACCACTGATGAAAGCTAGCTTTAAATGTATGTTATAAGACACCACTGATGAAAGCAAGGTTTAAATGTATGTTATTAAACACCACTAATGAAAGCTAGGTTTAAATGTATGCTATAAGACACCACTAATGAAAACTAGGTTTAAATGTTTGTTATAAGACATTACTGATGAAAGCTAGGTTTAAATGTAAGACACTACTGATGAAAGCTAGGTTTAAATTTAAGACACCACTGATGAAAGCTAGGTTTAAATGTATGTTATAAGCCATCACTGATGACAGCTAGGTTTAAATGTATGTTATAAGACACCACTGTTGAAAGCTAAGTTTAAATGTATGTTATAAGACACCACTGATGAAAGCTAGGTTTAAATGTATGTTATTAAACACCACTGATGAAAGCTAGGTTTAAATGTATGTTATAAGACACCATTGATGAAAGCTATGTTTAAATGTAAGACACCACTGATGAAAGCTAGGTTTAAATGTAAGACACTACTGATGAAAGCTAGGTTTAAATGTAAGACATCACTGATGAAAGCTAGGTTTAAATGTATGTTATAAGCCATCACTGATGACAGCTAGGTTTAAATGTATGTTATAAGACACGCCACTGGTGAAAGCTAAGTTTAAATGTATGTTATAAGACACCACTGATGAAAGCTAGGTTTAAATGTATGTTATAAGACATCACTGATGAAAGCTACGTTAAAATGTATGTTATAAGACACCACTGTTGAAAGTAGGGTTAAATGAATGTTTTAAGACACCACTGATGAAAGCTAGGTTTAAATGTATGTTATAAGACACCACTGGTGAAAGCTAGGTTTAAAAGTACGTGTATGTTTTAAGACACCACTGGTGAAAGTAGGGTTAAATGAATGTTTTAAGACACCACTGATGAAAGCTAGGTTTAAATGTATGTTATAAGACATCACTGATGAAAGCTAAGTTTAAATGTATGTTATAAGACACCACTGGTGAAAGTAGGGTTAAATGAATGTTTTAAGACACCACTGATGAAAGCTAGGTTTAAATGTATGTTATAAGACACCACTGGTGAAAGCTAGGTTTAAATGTATGTTTTAAGACACCACAGATGAAAGCTAGGTTTAAATGTATGTTATAAGACACTACTGATGAAAGCTAGGTTTAAATGTATGTCATAAGATACCACTGATGAAAGCTAGGTTAAAATGTATGTTATAAGACACCACTGATGAAAGCTAGGTTCAAATATAAGTTATAAGACAGCACTGATGAAAGCTAGGTTTAAATGTATGTTATGAAATACCACTGATGAAAGCTATGTTTAAATGTATGTTATAAGACACCACTGATGAAAGCTAGGTTTAAATGTATGTAATAAGACACCACTGGTGAAAGCTATGTTTAAATGTATGTTATAAGACACCACTGGTGAAAGCTAGGTTTAAATGTATGTTATAAGACACCACTGGTGAATGCTAGGTTAAAATATATGTTATAAGACACCACTAATGGAAGCTAGGTTTAAATGTATGTTATAAGACACAACTGGTTAAAGCTAGGTTTAAAAGCATGTTATAATACACAAAGATTTTGTGAAAGTCAATGATTACAGTACTAAAACTTACCACTAACTTATTGCCATCAACACCCCCATCTCGGAAACATCTGCTGCAGTCTAGTTTATTCTTAAAGAGAAAAAAGTATAATTAATAATATCCAGATGACAAGTAAGAAACAAGAGGGTCATTATACCCCTATATACATGTAACAGTAACATTGCTCAATCAAATTTCTTAAATTGATGTCACATGATTGGAGAGGGCCATGATTTAAAAAACAGTCTCTAGAGATGTCCACTGTTTATATGTCTGTGGTAGAGAAAAGAAGAATTTACTACTTATATTTAAATAAATATGTTTTGCTTATCTAAGTTATTTTTTGTGGAAAACATTGTTCAAACAACATTATAAATGGCTGGATTTTAGAATATGTCTGCAGCTGTTTTTCAAATTTTACACAAAATTATGTGTTCTTCAATATTTAACAGTTTATGTTTCTCTAAAAATCACTCTGATTACTTCTAGGTTTACGGTCAAGGGTTAGTGTTATGGGTAAGGATTAGTTTTATGGGTTATGGTTAGAGGTTTAGGGTTAGGATTATAAAACAGATGGTTTTACTGTGACAGATTCTAAAAGTGCTCCTTATATTAAAATAGACTAATTGATTCAGGATAAACAGTTTGATCCATTTTACAAATTGTTTTTTACTATTGCTGAACCCTTTGGAAAAAGACATCGCCTGTTCAAGATTATCTCATTGTCTCTTTCAGTCTTTGAAAAGTTTAATGAGTTGGACTACTTTTATAGAGCTATGTCCTCTTCAAATTATATGTTATAAAAATTGTGAAATATCAAAGCTGTATGCCATGTATGTAGTAGCCTAATTAATTTGGCGTGAACGGTTTGACCCATTTTACAGACTTTTTTTTCTTACTGTCAAACCGTTGGAAAAAGACAGCGCCCGTCCAAAATTATCTCGGTGTCTCTTTGACAAGTCTAATTAGTTGGACTATGTATGTAGTATCACACAAGAAGACTACCACTGTTATAGAACTTTCTTTTCAGTCACTCAACATATTTATCAGTTTGTTCATCAGTTAATATGTAAACTAAAGTTTAAAAAGAAAGCATGTGTTTTCTGTTTTTATTAAACAGTTAAAATTTTACCTCAGATAGCCAATTTATGACCTCCTGCACGGTCCATCTAATAAGAGTTCCGTATTCGGGTAGTGGCTGCCTTAACCGAGACATATTTATCTCTCAATTTCTTTTTAAAAACTTAGATGACATTGAGGTAAAATTTGTTAAAAGCCCTACTGAAAAAAACTTCCTTGTTGTTTACATCCTGGTAAATTAAATTTTAGACGAAATTAAAGTCATGTATTTTATTCTATAATTCCCTACATTATATTTGTTGCATAATATTAAAAAAATTTTATTATCTAAAATATTTTTTCAAGTTCAGAAAGTAAATAAATGTTTACAAAAGTTCAAAAGAGAAAAAATAAAAATTCGTCTAAATTAGTGAGGAACAATTCTGAATAAATTTTCACGTGTTGCCAAATTTTGTCAACAAAACATAATTAAATTTAAAGAGGTGGCATCGTAGCTTGACAAAAATGCAGCATGATGATGTAACTTTATATATTTCCTACAAATCTTATTTTAAATACATAGATTGATCTCAAAATATTGTGTTTTCCGGAACTGTTTACAATTTTCATATATTTTCGCGACATTCTACAATTTGCTTTACTCACGACTTGCATCTTCTGTCGCGTTAAATTTAATCTCACGATATTTTGTTTAACATTTTAATCAAAATACACTTTCGATACCTTTGTTTATGTTACTGATAGTACGTATTTACAAAAATTAAATTGGTCAGGCACAGCGCAGCCGTAGGACCAATTTAATTTTGTAGATACTTACTAATTAATTTTAACCGGCTAAATGTTTTAACTTATATTTAATATGAAAAAGGCAAAGCCTCAAAGCGAGCTCGATGTACTTTTTACGTGAAATAGTATGAAATAATCGCTCATTTTTATTTCAAATGCAGTAACGAGTGCGTGTGATGTCACACGTACTGTGTTAAATATGGCTCCGCCCCTGTCGTGAAATGAATAACGAGTTTTGAAAACGTTGATAAAACTTTGTTTATTTTATTTCACTCTATAATTTTTCAAGCGAAATAAAAATTATTTAAAGTGAAATAAATGTAAAACTTAAAACGTTTGCGACATTAAAATAGCGTACTTGATTTGTTTGTTTTGCACGTGCTGTTTGGCGCTACATTGTGACGTCACGTAAACAATACTAAATTTAAACGTCTGTACAGCGTAAACGACTGAATAAAAGATATTGGTGTTCGGACTCATTTTCTTAGTTAGACCATTTTCTTTCATTCTAGATAGTTTTCACCACAAAATTCGACAAAAAATTGTTTTTATTTATCAGATTTCAAACAAAATGGCGCATTCGATTTTCATTTTTTATACACCGCTTCCGTTACTCTGGTTCCCTGTCCAATTATGGTTCCCATAGGCGTACGCGGGTGACCAGTCTACACATCCGTTTTCAGTCAGAATTCCTCAGTTTTTATCGTTATCTTTAATTTGAAAGGTTGCGATGTGTCCAATTTGGTACTTTGGACGAAAGTTTTCAAAACCATCACTTAGCAGGTACTTGCGTTACCATAAAGCTCGCTTTGCGAGCAGGCCCTTCGGGCCAGCTCGTCGAGCTCGCTATTAACAGTTGATTTACTAGACTGATTAACATTTGCCGATTTACCAATAAAAATGTGTTAGGATTAATTTGAAATACTGCAATCCTATTGGACAAAAAATAATTTCAAACACTAAGCATGGACTTTAATTACATTTTACAATTGTCAGTTAAAGTCTGTGCTGCTTAACCAAGATAATTTCAAACATTTATATGTAACCAACTTTTTCAATTTCTATTTGTTGGTGATCCTAACTTTTATATTATTATTAAAAAATTTATTATTAATCTATATCCTAATAGGTTTTTATTATGGAAGTGGCTAGCTGTACGGGCCCGTACGGCTAGCCAGAAGTTCTAGTCGTAAGTGAGTCACATATGACTAGCCAGGACTCAATGTATTGTCTAGCAGTACGGCACTTTTCAAAATTACATGGAAGTCAAACATGTATCTGTTATTTTGTGCCTCATGATTATGATTTGTTGTTTTGTTTGTATGAAAGATGATTTTTTTGTTAATTAAGCACATGAATCGAATAAATAATGATCGGAGTCAGTGGAATAAATAAAAAGAACATTGAAGAAAAAAAAACGGTGAAAAGCAAAAATAATTGTATAATTTTCAAGTATCAAACATAAAAGCACACGCAATTAATAAGCCTTAATTAAAGCCTACCCAGGGACTGACAATAGAATTTTAAAATGCGTTTCACGGAACATGCAAACTTTCCTTAATGATGGACAAACTTCTTTATACTTCTTTATTCTTCTACTATATAACATATGAAGACAATTGCTGTTTCTTGGTTAAAATTCTTGCTTAAAGTCATAAAATAACATATGCATGTTCGACTTCCATATAATTTTGAAAATGCCATACGGCTAGCCAATACAGCGTGTCCTTGCTAGTCGTATGTGACTCACTTACGGCTAGAAATTTTGGCTAGCCGAACGGGCCCGTACGGCTAGCCACTTCCTATATGGGGCTGAATTCACCCGTGCCGAGTTTGTGTTGGGCCAAGTTGAATTTCCACTGTGTAATTAACAAACTGCACATGAATTTGAGCAGAAAAATTTGGGCACTAAGCTGGTTAAGTAAGTATTGATAAAATTCAATTGATCAGGCGTGGCACAGGGGCATGACCAATTTAATTTTGTAAATATGTACCAATACACTTAACCTATACTTAATGCTTACAATGATTGTTAGCCTAACACTGATATTAATGTGTATCTATTGTAAAATTTTAACACTTACAATTGCTCTTATTTAAGGTCATCTGGAGTATTATCAATGGATCTTTTTGCTCTTTTAAAACAAGGTTAGTAGCTTCTTCTCTCTTTGTAAATTTTAATTAGAAAGGATTCTTTATTTGATAATAAGAAAGGCATAGATGTACATGTATCTTTATGATTATAATGATGTCTCCTCCTAATATATCAGAGGCCTAGGAAAGGCCTTTTCCCAATTGAAATTTTCTTAAATAATTATGCAGTTTCCCCCAAAATGGAAACTTACCCCAGCTTTTTTACTTTCCAAATAAGCAATTTTAGCGATACTTTTTTCCCAATAAAAAAATCAAGAGGCTAAAGCCTCTTCCGAATTAAGTGAGAAAACCCACTGTGTCTTTGTGTGGTACATATAAATGTCAGTTATGATAATTTCATCATGAAATGATTGATGATAAAGTTGAATGTCTAATAGTTAAATAGGAAGAAGACTGTTTGTTTCAAAAACATTTACGGTATATTCTTTCTGATACCCATATGATCATCATGATCATCATATGTAATTTTGCTTTATCACATTTTATATTTTAGAGCAAAGACACAAAAGTTTTGCCGTAATGAATATAGTTTGACGGGTCTATGTAACAGAGCTTCATGTCCCCTAGCCAACAGTCAATACGCAACTGTAAGAGAAGAAAATGGTATGTATACATGAAAATTTCTGCAGCGGTATGTCAGCTACATGTGTTTGATAAGGACGTTCCTTGTCAGTGTCTGTTAGGTTGACTATTGGCTTAGAACAGCTAATTGTACTACTAGGTTAAATATTGTGCTATTTTATTTATGGGCAATATCTACCAAGAGGGGAGATTCTGAACCTGAACACAAAAATATGTCAAAATCTAGGTGCAGACATCAAAATATTTTGACTATCTTTAGGCTTTTTCTTTGCATGTTTAAAGAGGAAGAAATTAAGGACAGGCATATATTACTACATGTTATAAACTTGTATATATGTATATTTGGGCTTGTATTATTTTCTACCTTACTCCTTAGTTCCTTCACACAACAGGGCTTCCACTAAGTTCCAAAATTTAGAAATCAAACACTGCAAATCTCTGATATTGGAAGTCACATTATATAAGTAAAGAAGGAAAAGTATTATATTTTGGAAGTCACAAGCCAAAATCAAGGATTAAATAACTCCCAAACTTCCATTAACAGAAGCCCTGCACAACATCTCTTTCAACACAAGCCCTTATCACACTAAATATTTAGCACAGACTTTAGGAACAACACCGTTTTACCCCTTTGCCAGTTAAACATTAACATGTTGTGTAAAAAACTTTTATTCTAGTCAAAAAACCATTTATCAATTTTTTCGAAAAAAAAAAGAACTGACCAAATAGGGAGAACAGTGCAGACCATAACGGATCAGACAACATGGATGTGCCAGCTGAACTTGGTCTGCACTAGTTGCATGGGTAGAGTCTACCTGTACGGCCACTAGCAGGCTGAAGGTTAATATAGTCTACAGCGTATTCGTATTATTATTGAACATATACAGTAGGGTATTAAGTTAGTTTCAAATTTAAAAACAACAACAAATATTTATGTATTGTGTTTATTAATCCTACACAGCAATTAATATAGACTTACCTGAATTTGAACACTGCTAGCTGTTCTGTCACTATGTACATGTATTTTGAAATTTCTCTCACAATGATGAATGGTTATATCCTGATTGAAAGATGGTCAAGTCCATTTTGAGTTTTAGGGTGGTAAGGCTTAAAACAGCATGCAGCAAGAACTGATAAAAGTCTTTATATAACTGATATTCCCCTAATGTTCAATGGACCTGAATCTTTTCTGTTGTAGGTGTGTGTTTCTTGTACATGAAAGTTGTTGAAAGAGCTGCGTTTCCACGGCGACTGTGGGAGAAGGTGAAATTATCAAACAGTTATGAGAAAGCACTCAAACAGATTGATGAACAACTGATGTACTGGCCAAAGTAAGATTTCCTCTTAATGTCAGGTTTTATTGAACTTTAAATAATTCTGACATTGATACAAGCACGGTGCCTATTCCATGTAACTTTGTGATCTGTTTGGGGCAGAAAGCCAATATAATAGATGATTTAGGTTTAATTTTCTGCCGTAACTTTTCTTCTTTAATATTTCATTTATTATAGGATAATCATAAAGTGTATAGCCCACTCATTTTAGTGAGGAACCAATCCTCAAAAGTAACTATTATTTTATTCGTAAAATGAAACCATGTGACTATCTGATTGTTCAAACATGCGTTTTCACGCTGACTTTTCCTCCTAAAACAATCTACATGTATGTCTCTGATACTCACTAGAATGAGAGGGTTCTACATTAAATCCTTTTAAAAACAATAAAATATTTTAAAAGTTCTGGAAGGAAATGAAATCTGGACCATCTATTGTTTTGGCTATTTGCCACACGCAGATCATCAACAAGATCAATGTGTTGTTGTGCTGACAGACATATTGTCTTTGTCATGCATGTTATGAGGAATTAATCTTAAACTGTCGTGCATGTTATGAGGAATTAAGCTTAAACTGTCGTGCATGTTATGAGGAATTAAGCTTAAACTGTCGTGCATGTTATGAGGAATTAAGCTTAAACTGTCATGCATGTTATGAGGAATTAAGCTTAAACTGTCATGCATGTTATGAGGAATTAAGCTTAAACTGTCATGCATGTTATGAGGAATTATGCTTAAACTGTCATGCATGTTATGAGGAATTCAGCTTAAACTGTCATGCATGTTATGAGGAATTAAGCTTAAACTGTCATGCATGTTATGAGGAATTAAGCTTAAACTGTCATGCATGTTATGAGGAATAACGCAGTTTAAGCTGCTGTAATCTCATTATACATGCATATGACACATACCACTAGAGTCGTCACATGACTTGTAAGTTTATGATGAAATATGTATCACTTTATGCACCTCCAGAAATAAAGATAAAACAAACTATATCCGAATATTATTACAACTTAGTTAATTTACTGTTAACTATTTCTATGTCTTAAAAAGTTAAAAATTGCAGGTACTTGAGACATCAGTCAGAATTTCAGTCATCGTTTAACCCTGCGTGATTCTAAGAGGTGACTAAATGGGCGAAGTCTATGCATCTCTAAAAGCTCCAGCAGGTGAGGTGGCTTGGACACCTGGTGTTGTAGATGCAAGTTTGTTACACCCAAGGTGGCCCAAAATGATCCTTCCTGTTTCGGCGCCATATGACCTAAACCATGTTGGTGCGCAGTAAAACCAAACAGAAAAGAACAGTCATTTTTTAAAGAATCTGTTGTTTAGATGTTTTAATGAATTATTCAGGCCTAAAATAAATACTGTTGTTATTTTGTTGTTTTTTTTTGCAGGTTTGTAAAGCACAAGTGTAAGCAAAGATTTACAAAGATCACTCAGTACCTCATACGTATAAGGAGACTTACTCTAAAGAGACAGTTAGTATTTTACTTGGTAGATTATTTACCCATAATGCATCAGGAATAAATTAATTTTCGTTACCTACATCATGGGACCTATTATCTTGCCAATTGCAGTGTTGTGGAACTGTTTATATTAAAAGAAAAGGGATAAGCCATTGACTGAATGGTTTTATGGTTTAAGCATTCAGCTAATAAACAGGAGGTGGCTATTTCAATCCCTTACTGGGTCATATAAGACTTCATATGACCTCTACTGTGTAGGTGAGACGTAAACCTCCCCCCCCCCCCCACATTTAAAAAAAAAAGTGAAAAAAAAGAAGATTGATGGTTCATGAAATAACTGATGTGAAGGATATTCTATAAATCTCTTCTGTGAAACTGCACCAGAATTTCAGCTCCTTAATATTAAATTTTTATTTGTAACCAATAGAGAGTACATATTTAAAATGAGTTCAATCCATTCCTTAAATATAGGAGGGGTATAGGTTGAGAGAACTGTACTGTATACATGTAGATATTGATGTTTCAGGAAGAAATTAGTTACTTTGAGTAAAAAGGTCGAGAACTGTTCTCTATACATGTAGATATTGATGTTTCAGGAAGAAATTAGTTCCGTTGAGTAAAAAGGTTGAGAGACGGGAGAGAAGACGTGAAGAGAAAGCTCTTGTTGCTGCCCAGCTGGATACAGCTATAGAGAAAGAATTACTGGAACGATTAAAACAAGGAACCGTATGTATAATATCATATTTCAGTTTAAACAGTATTGTATTGATAAACATTACATTAACATGATAAATGACAAATAACAAACTGTATGGATTGATTAAGAAGCTAAAAAAGCTTCTTTAGAAATTCTTTTTTGTCTTATGTAATATCATGTGTTTCCACAGATTTTTTTGTTTATTTTATAGCCGATATTGGTCATGTTCCCAAATAAAAATAATAAATTATTTTCCCAATCCACAGAAAAAAATCCCAATGGAAAATTACAAAAAAAATATTGAATAACAAATTCTCAATTCTTTGAAAATAAGGGCTTCTGCACTGTTATGGTGCTTACATGTTTGAAGATGCCATCCTAGACAGTAATTCTTTGCATTCATGTAATCATTGCAAAATTTAAATCATGCATTTTTCGCCAATTTTTAACCAAAACCTTGCTGAAAATCTTAATTCCCAGGGTATGGGTTATGTTCCCAAAATCCTGGAAAAAAATTTTGGTTTCAGCTAGTTTGTTGCTATTCCATTTTTTTAAAGAGATTTGTACTTAACAGTTGTACCACTTTCATTACATGTACTAAAAATGAAAAAAAAAATGTTAAAACTGTGTTTTCCTTCTTTCTATACAACTGTTGTGCCCTCAGTAAGGGGGGGTGTGGCATATAGATTTGCCCTTTTCCATCTCTCCCTCTTTTTGTCCGCAGACAGACAAAACAGTGTCATATGGATTGTTCTGTGTCCCTATGACACATTTCTTTAACACAAATATGAAATATCAGAAATGTTTGAATAATTGTTTTTCATTTTTGTCTCAATTTTGCAGTACAAGGATATATACAACTTCCCACAAAAAGCGTTTGACAAGGTGGTCGAGGGAGAGGAAGTTGAAAGCGAGAGCGAGTCAGAGAAAGAAGATGGAGAGATGGACGAAGATTCTGAAGATGAAGATGAGGTGGAAATGGAAGAAGAATCGGTATGTATAATAACGTTGGATAATATTGTTACTGAAATTCTAGATTTTTGGATTACTTTTCTTCATATAACTATAAACATAATTTCTAAACATAGGATTTTCAAGAAGCTATTAATTTTTTTGTGCCAGAAATAAAACAAAGGGTACCTGAGGTCTTCGTCTACTAGTTTAGCTGAAAATTCTCACATATCCATTACAGTGCAGTCTGCAGAGCCTTTTCACTAGTTTTGGGGAAGGCGCCATAGCCCTTTTTGTGGGGAAAAAGTGCGCGGTTTTCATGCTTTTGGGGAAAAAATCATATTTTCCACTGGCAGTTTAACCATTATTACTATAAATAAAGACTTATTTAAATCATACATTTGGGGGAAATATCATAATATATTTGCATATTTTCCTCCAAACACACTTATTTTAGGAGCTTTCTGTCCAACATAAGTTAAAGGGATTTTTTTACAGATCAATTTATTGCCACTTTTTATTTGCCCAAGAATACATTAACTCATATTTCCTAATTATAGAAAATTTACGTAGGACATGTGAGGGTTCTTGATTTGATTCAGAGGGAACATTATTATCAGTTCCCACCATATCACTATTACTGGCACTGTTGTTATTCCCATACTTGGGCATGTTGTGCTACTCGGACACACAAACTTGCGAGTGGATACATGTATTTGATTCTCTTGCACTTACAGGAAGGTCAACAATTTGTCCAGTTTTTCATAAACAACTAAAAATGTCACTCAATCGTATTTTCTTCTTGTTCTGTGACATTGTTTACATTTGCGACATCGTAAATCGGTCGCCGTATTGTCGTAAAAAAATCACGTGTGCACTAAAAATTAAGGCAGCGGGGTATTCCCATGTTGCAAACTCAGACCGAGGCAGTGAGTTAACATCAATTGTATTGAATCAAGGTATCCCACTAGTAGGTAATTGAATAATTAGCTTTCATTGGACAAAAACAATGATCTATTTTTAAACAAGAAAGTTTGTTTACAAGTTTTTTTCTTCGATTTAACATTTCTCTGAAAGGGAAAATCTTCGCAAGAAGGGGAATTTTAGACTGTTTTTTGGGTAAAAAAGGTAGTAACTTGGCTTGGGTAAGTAGTTGAATACCGGCTACAGCAAAGAAGGGTAAAAAGGCCCTGCAGTGATATAGTAACTAAATACTAATGAACCAACTCAGAGGGATGTAAATGATGAATTTTGTGTTTTATATAAGGTCTGTCCTTTCTGACACATCAATGATCATAGGTTATTATACCCCCGAAACGAAGTTTGGAGGGGGGGTGTATATAGGAGTCACCCGGTGGTCGGTCCAGAGGTCCTTTGCATTTTCCTTCATCTTCAGTATTTATAGAGTTATTGCCCTTTGTTCCTTTTCCTTGTCTTTCTGGACTTATTGCAGAGTAATTCAATAAAACTTCATCAATGGCCAACCACTATGAAAGTGGATTTGCAACATACAAGAACCACAACTATCTTTAATTGCCCACAACCATAACTCTTATTTCAATTCTTTTACAAATATTCTGTTACTAGTAACATCTTCATTTCCGAAGCAGTTTTGCGGGGGTATTAATCACATTTAGTGATAGTTTTAGTTTTACATAGAATATATATGTAGAATAATTAATAAAATTTATTTTAATCAAGATTGTTTTAATAATTCAGGATTCAGGTGAGGTGGAGTATATTGCGGAGGAAGAGTTTGAGGAGAGTGACATGGAGGATATGGAGGTATAAGACAGTGACAAAATTATAAGAAAGCCCCCTTCAGTTTTTCAAATGTTGAATATGTTATTTTTAGATCAATAGTTTCATAAAATTGTCAAAGCAGAAGAATTTAAGCGGACAATTTGTTTCCCGATCTTTTATTTTTAGAAATGAAAGTTACTGATGCATTATAAATAGTTTTCTAGATGCTGTTTTGAAGAAGATGCACTTTTTTGTGCCCCCACTTTAGTGGCGGGCATTTAGATTTACCCTTGTCCGTCCGTCCTTCCGTCCGTCTGTTCTCTTTTGTGTCGCACGTAACTCAAAAAGTATTTGACCTAGTCATGAAACTTTACAGGAATGTTGATCAGCATATGTAGTTGTGCACCTGGGTATTTTTGTCTGGATATTTTTAGTATTTTTAGAGTTAATGCTCTTGACTAAGTAAAATTTTGCAATTTTCAACTTGTGTCCCATGTAACTCAAAAAGTATTTGACCTAGAGTTATGAAACTTTACAGGAATGTTGATCAGCATATGTAGTTGTGCACCTGGGTATTTTCGTCTGGATTTATTTAGTATTTTTAGAGTTATTGCCCTTGACATAGTAAAATTTTGCAATTTTCAACTTGTGTCGCATGTAACTCAAAAAGGATTTGACATAGAGTCATTAAACCTTACGGGAAGGTTGCTCAGCATATTTAGTTTTGCACCTAGGGTTTTGCTTGTGGATTTATTCAGTATTTGTAGAGTTATTTCCCTTGACTTAGTAAAAACCGTTTCATTATGTTGTTATTTGTTCCTTGAGTGCTTGAATTAGAATCAACCAACTTTACAGGAATAATGATCAACATCACTAAATTACAAGAATAATGATTCACATCACTGTGAAGCTATGCACCTGGGACTTTGCATGTGGATTTTTTTTCAGTTTTGTTAGAGTTATTGCCCTTGACTTACAGTAGTATAAATTTGCAATTTTTAACTTGTTCATGCATAGCTCAAAAAGTATTTCACTTGTAGGCCTGAAAGTTTACAAGAATGTTGGTCAGCATGTGTACTTATGCACCTTTATTCAGTATTTGTAAACTTCTTGCCCTTTACTTAGTAAAAGATTTTTAGTTTTCAAAAAATATTTGACCTAGAGTCATAAGATTGACAGAACAGTGGCACGGTGGGGGCAGCCGTGTCCTATGGACACATTTCTAGTTCAAGATAAAATTACTGAAATACTTAGTTTGAAACAGCAAAGAATTGTTTTTCCAATTGAATTTTTGCAATTGAATTTTGACCTAAAATTCAAAATGTTTTGTGACTTAATACTTAAAGACGGATCTTAATAGTAAAATGTCCGTAACTTAACCAGTCGAAAAAAAGGCTATACTATTCATTCTATTTAACACGAAACCCAAATTTATAAAAGTAATTCTAAAATTCAAATTTGCGTGATCACTAGAGCCTCAAACATTTAAACACATCAATATATTAAGGTATTTTAAACTCTTTAAATTCATTTTAATGAAAAGTATTGTTATATTTTCCAGGATATGGACAGATTACAATCACAGTCGGAGAGTTCTTCCGAGTCTGAGGATGACGATAAACCATCCACGTCAAGGCAGAAACGCAAGCCTCGTAGAAGAGTTGAGATTGAATACGAACACGAGGTCGAAAATGAGTCGCATTCAAAGCTTAAAACTAAAACTTGATAAAGTGTTCACTGTTAAACTGGATGTAAATAAAAAATGTAATTTAGAAAATTGTATTTTTTGTTCCGATGGCATAAAGCAGAAAAGCTGAAGGAAAATTCTGTAGTAAAATAATGTTGTTTTTTTAATGCTGACTGCTGAAAGGCCAGTGACTAAGAATCGAAAAAAGTTCATGGTGATAAATTTTTATTTCAATTTCTTTGGCATTTCCATAGAATCTACTAATACTTGTTATTAAAGAGGAATCAAAGGACTCCCTGTGACAGAAAAACTGTTAAAATGCCATTTGATTTGGAATAAAGTTGGATTTACTAAATCTAAAACATGTATATTTTTTCCTCCAAATAAGAGTAAGGGTACTTTATCATGGCAGAGTTGTAAAAGATAAATCATGCTGTGGTTAGAATCACTTTTGTGTGGCATGTCCGTCGTCTGTTGTCACCTAAACCACTGGATGGATTTTGACCAAACTTCACAGGAGTGATCTTTAAGTGGATTACTGTCATGAGGGTCATAGGTTCAAACACCAGAAGGGTCAACTTTTTTTCTTTACACATTATTTATGTATCTCAGATCCCTTTTGGGAAGAAAAAAAGTATTTAATTGTAATCATATAAGTATTTATTGGCTAAATTACAGGTTAATTTGCATGTCAGCTACTATATTTCGAGCACATTTAAAAACATCCATGTTTTAATATAAGGTGGATTGTCACTGTGATAAAAAAAAATATTTTCCCAATTATCGGCACCTTCATTATTTTCCCAATTATTTGCACCTAAATTATTCTCCAGATTATTGGCACCGTCATTATTTTCTCAAGTATGCCACTTACATTATTTTCCCAAGTATTTACTAAAAGAATACTCAAGAATAGCCTCCCCTTAATAAAAAGGACATTTCATGAAATGTGTAAATATATATGTGTAAAGATAAATTAGCCATTGTTATACGCAAAGAAACAAACTTTCATATGTTTTTGTGTAAAGTATGAAAGAAATAATGACTGCCTGCTAGAACTGAAACATGCACTCATTGGTCAGATAGTTTGGCTATCTTTTATTTCCGGATTTCCAATTAGTAAAGAAATAGCTATTTAGTATTTTGTATGGAAATCAAAATAACATTTTGTTTACTTTTTGCTCCCTCTATAACAAATAATGTCGGAATCTGCATACGCGTCTCTGGTGTTGTTATTCCCTTATAAAAACATTTAAAAACACGTTTACCGTCTGAACACTCATTTTTGGGGCATAATGTGCCTTAAAAATTTTGAGATGCAGAACTTTATGAAAGGGTATTTCTTTTCTTTGTTTATGTAAATTGCCCCGCCTTTGCGGTGCTCTTGTTGATTGTTGTTGTCGACGACTGCATAATTGTTATTTCATAAATTTTCTTTTAATCTTTTGTTAGACATTATCATAAGTGTAACACAATGTAAAGATAAATGAATTCATTAAATTAAGTAAATAATGACTATCATTCAAATGAAAGTAATTATAGTAAGATCTGGTTTTAAACAACATCTGGGAGCATGTAATTGTTACGTGATGTACTTGCACGAAAACGTGTACATGTTAAATGATGTTTGTGCACGAAAACGTTTACATGTTACGCAATGTACGTGCACGAAAATATGTACATGTTATGTGATGTATGTGCACGAAAACGCGTAGATGTAACATGATGTACGTGCACGAAAACGTGTACATGTTAAGTGATGTATGTGCACAAAAACGTGTAGATGTTACGTGTTGTACATGCACGAAAATATGTAGATGTTACGAGATGTACGTACACGAAAACATGTACATGTTACGTGATGTACGTGCACGAAAACATGTACATGTTACGAGATGTACATGCACGAAAACAGATAAAATACCTGGCATGTTTAAACAGATTTTAAAGAAATAAAACAATTAATGTTATAAAGACCAAGACCCTTAGTGTTTATGGATGACTGTTCAGCATTTAGATAAAAATTTGTGCCTTGACGTTTTTGATGGTCAGTTATTCAGGGGCAAACGTCGAATACAGCAGATGGTTGAAGGGGTGACCACATTATCTTCCGTTACAGCGATGTCTTTACTCTGGAATGATACATGTTCAACACTCCCTTCATGCCTCAACGACACACCAGAAGGACTGGTAATTCTTGTTGTTTCTGTAAATAAACGTGACAAACTTAAACATGTATTTTAATCATAAATAAATAACTCTCGTAAAGTCGCCAGATCTTGCCATTTTCTACGGTACCACCGAGGGGCCGTCAGATACATGTGTTAACCTTAACCAAATACATGTATTAAACACGTGATCACGAATATATGGTGGCTGATTTCTGCCTTTTCATGTCTTTGCCCCTCTAAAGTCGAAGGCGAACCTTTAAATAACCTCCTGCATGAACCGAGAGTGATTAGCCTTTCACGTTACTGCAGGGACAGTGCACGTCCGTGTGCAGTCCGTCCGGGCTCTAAAAATGTAGGTAGCTCGATTTTTGTATTTCTATATTTAAAATCCTTTTAGATTTGAATGGACTCTTCCAAATTCAAAAATGGAAAACTCCATTACACAAAGTCACCAAAGAACAGTTCGAGTTTCAAAGCAGATCAAGAGCACATATAAACATTAGTGGGGTGACAACACAATGGGGCGACGGATGACACGTTACAACATATTTTTCAGCATACCTGACTTTCTTTGAAATATATGTTGATATTTATCCTGATTGAATCTCTCCAGTTCATTCTCACGCGAAAGGTGTCTTTCAGTGTAAAACATGTTATCTCGAACTCGGCTACCTCGAACTACAAATAATCAAATATACATGTAAATGAGTCGAATCAATTCAACTGCTATACATAATATCATGACACAGTATTTAAAGTATGATTGACACTGGTATTTAAAGGACCTCCATGTTAGATACAGTGCGACCTCTTTATAGCGACAACGATATTTTATTGTTGCTGAAACATTCGGCTTTGTCAAGTTAAATCACAAAGTGAATATCTGTAGCATCATGATTTATGTTTATACATGTCCATAGCTTAGCTTGGACAAGAATACATTGTATTTGGGAAAAAAAGTTACTTTGTAGGGAGATATTTCTTTTTTTCAGAAATGCAAAAGCAAAAACCTACCTAGATAGATAGGATACCAAACCCAAAGAGCTAGAGTTTAGATACTAAACATAAAATATTTTCTCGTGAGTGTCTACCAAGTTTATTCAAATTAAAGCCCTGGGTAAAAATTGGCCCCGCCCCAGGGGGTCATTGTTTTTCCCTTTATTGTACATGGTAAAAACTTAAAACATCTTCTTTTAAAAACCCAAAGAGCTAGAGCTAAGATATTGTGCATGAAACATCTTCTAATGGGTGTCAACCAAGTTTGTTCAAATAAGGGCCCTAAGGTTAAAAGTGTTTACTTTGTAGGGAGATTTTTCTTTTTCTTATCAGAAATGCAAGTGCAAAAACTTACCTAGGTTAAGCATAGATAGGATACCTAACCAGTGATTGATCATTCCCGCACCAACTATGGTCAGATGATAGTCATTGGCTAACACATTTGAAATTTTCACACCTGCTTGATCAAACAACACGTGGAACTTTGTTGCATGGAGACTGCACGTGGCACGTGTTTCATTTATTGAATTGAGCAGCTTCTTCTTTCCTCCTAATTGAGCTTGGTTCGTCCTAAGCTTCTGGTAGGCACCCCTGTCAGCGTACATCACGACTATAGCTGAACTTCTAATATACACTTCTTCATTCATAAAACTACCGTTATGCCGACAGCGTATATTGAATACGTTTTCTAGGGCATCCTTTTGCATTTGAAGCCATTCGACCTGGTACTCATCGTCCCAGTTAATTTTAAAGTAAACGCCAATTTCACGTGCAGATTGACGCCGTGTTGTATTAACAGGCGCTGGGATGAGAAACTTTAGCACATGAGGCAACCAACAAGACACTTTCTTGATATCTGTAACCGGTACGATCCTGCCTAACGTTTCTTGAGCTATTCTCTTCCGTTGTTCTTTAATAGGCTCTCTTTTCTTTAGTGACTTCTTGATACTGGTTTCCAACCGTTTCACGTGCTTTTCTTCCTCCGGTGAATGCTGCAACACTAACAAACAGTTAGATTTTCCCTCTAAAAAGAGCGGCTTTACTTTAGTATGAAAGTATTCACTTTCTATTGTCGTGATATAAACAACGTCAGCGTTCTTGTCAGCAGTTGTTTCCCAGTTACTTAACTTGACAGATTCCAGTGGCACAGAGTAGCGTCTAAGGACGCCAGTCAAGGTGCGAGCTTGTTCATCTATGTCTCTTCCCACATTGTCGTTCGTTTCACCATCGTACACAATGTACTTTAGCATTTTTAAAACCAATATCTTTATGTTTTAGACTCAGAATACAAAATTCTATTTCCTTCAGAAAACCATTATTTACTAAAGTACGCACGTTCCATATCCACTTTTTATTTTTATTTTTTTTAATATCGTTCTTCCAGAATACAAAAAGACAAAATTTATCTCATTAAAACTGGTGCATATACTCGCTATATTTTGTTACTCCAGCGTTAAATTTTAAAGATTACCAATATTTATAACCGTTAGATCGACTTCCGTTTAAACTCCTCGACAAAAAACTGGATACCTGTAGATCAATAAATACAACATCAATACGGGACTTCCTGATTGATTTTGATATTTTTTGTATTAAATTTCAAGTTTAAACCCCTGATTTGATAAGTATGTTACCTATATAGAGATGTATACACCCCTTTGATATTTAGGTCATTATTTGAGTTTACTGTCCATTGTTTTATTATATACAAGAAATATAAATCTTTGTTAAGACTTACATTAAGACCAATAAATTGTCACATGTGTACGAGTAAAGATTTACTATTTATTTATCTATCAGGATCTCTGTTCTACAATTTCGTTGAAGAAAAAAGAAAAGTTAACATTTTTACGATATAACCGGAGGTAGATAACGTTGCGTTGCGTGCATTGCATTGTACACATACGAAAGATAACTCGAGAGTTATTAAGATTTACCAAACATATTGATTACCTCCCTTGAATTATAAGTTCAACAGTGTTATATAGATCAATGCTGAATGACTTAATAAAGTGAATATTTGAAGCAGTCCATATATTTTTGTCTTTTCATAATTACCGTTAATTACTCATTTACATGTCTTTTCCGATTCTTACCGAACCCCACCTCCTCTCAATTATTATATGCAGTTCATAAAGTTTTATTCATGCTCTTTTCTACAAAAAATAAAATCAATCTCATGCAATGTTTTCATAGAATGAGAAACGTCAACTTTTTTTTCGATGGTTCCTATCTCATTTTCTCAGTTGAAGTCACACCTACCTGTACCTACGAATCAAACCCGCCCATCACGTGCAGAATATACACGCTATCTTTCTTTACAGACACTAATCTCTTCTCCAGAGTTCGTATTTATTCAAAAACATTTTCATAGTCGAAGAAATTAATATTATAGACTCTCTTTAATTCTAATTTCTCTCAATTTGAACGAAATTTGATCCGTCGATCATTGTATGCTAAACGCATTAAATCTAAGATGTATCGCGCTCGGGGAAATCACGATTACCCGTCCGTGACAGAAAAAGTAAGGATTTGTAATTCGTAGAGCCCTAATGCATACTGATAAGCCTTAGCTACGTGTTTTCGGATGTTTTATATATCAGAGTTTTATCTGTTGATTTGGTTTGCCTATCAAAGAATGCCATAAATTCAGTTTATATAGATATGTTACAAGCTTATCTTATTACTGTGTGAAAATGTTCCACAAAAACATAATAATGGGATCGTGAATTACAAAATATCTCGTGTAATTATTGAGAGTGTAAGTAACAGAGCTGAATAACCTTGCCCCTTTTTCCCCTTTCTTTTACTTAACAAACAGCTGACTGTGACATTCTGCTTAAGAAAATTATTTTGTATGAATTTGTCAATCAAATTTCATCGGATGATAACAAAAATAAAATAAGATAAATAAATAAATATTAAAGTGTGAAAAAGATACAGAAGTAAAAGTTCATTCGCAACTTTTCGGCTCTTTCCGTTAATTGCGAAGTCTGCAGACGTTAAAAATTGACGTTACATGGAAGCCAAAAGTTTAAGCTACGAAATAAATTAATTGGTTTAACAGGTTAAAACAAAACGACCCTTAAAGTGTAATTTTGCATTAATTTTATTCATTTGAAAAATGTATCGAACCCATTTTTTAAATCTGACTTAAAAATGGTTTTACTTTCGTCTGCTTCATTATCGTATGCTGCCAATGTCGCACTGGTTTGTATTCTAACCATGTGCGGTTTTTCAACTGAACTAAAACTATAACTATATGATAATGCTCATAAAAACAAAACAAAAATAGATCCAAATTGATTGCTGATAACATCAAAAAGCAATCTAAATAGGCAGAAAGTAAATACAAATTATGCAGTGGTCTCGTGCATTGGAAGCATGCGCCGAGGTATTTAAATTTTTGGCATTGCAACAGTTGGTTTTTTAACGAAAAGTCATTGTTTTCTCTAAGATCTTAATTGATATTTTTTTTTTGTTCCTTTATTGTTCTTTAGCAAAACAAAAGGACCCAAACAAAACATAAATATCTGAAGTTACCATTTCTCTAGGTATTAACGGCTGTTGAAGTAACCGACGCTCCAGCGTTCTGTCACGACGCACGTTTTTACATAAACAACGCTAAAGGCGCGTGTTCAAAGTTTTACTGGATCAATTTTGCAACAGTTTGGTTAAAATGTTTAATTGATTATTTTAGAAAAAACAAAACAAATGAACTTGTTTTATTCCTGTTTCACAGTGTGTGTTTGAATCTTTGTAAACGTTCTGTATGTATCAAAAAGTATATACAAAGCAAGTTCGATAACTTTACTCAGTATTATCGATTCTATAAAACACATCCGCGCAAGCTTGTCTATCTTAAAATAAACTCTATAGCGAGCTTGGATTTCTGTCCTTTGAATATTTAATTTAAAGGACATGTTTGTAATAAAAACTTGCATAAAGCATTTACAAATTGATCAAAATGGTTAAAATAAAATCATAACGAACATAACAAATTCTTTACTTTTTACGTTTAGCACCCACCGAAAAAAAATGGCTTGAAACAACCAATGTGTCTTACATGGGTTTTATTATGAACAGAAAATACGTCGGTAATTTACCATCGATTATAGCAGGCTGTTATTAAATAACGCACACTGTTTTCGGGATTGAAATAACATACAGATGCATTAAACAAACGTCATTAGAAACAGAATTCCAAGAATTAAGCAGACGACATATTCTTGCCGAAGAGCGTCTTTCATCACGTCACGCACCAGCAAAGATCATGTAGGAAATAAACGGTAAGACACCCGATTCCTGGTCCTAATTCCTTCCAAATCGGTTACCACATATCTATAGTAACGCTTCATAAATATCCTTCTAAATATTCTCATTAAACTGAAATCTTGCACAGTTTTCTTTTGGGTTCATTTGGCTCGATTTTTCACAATCATTCATCTTTAGTACCTAATCTATTTAGCAGACGACTTCTGTGAAACTTGAATATAAGCAGACGAAAAACCGTGTGTAGGGAATTGGAAGAAAATGCGCGATATTGCACGCTCGTCTGCAACTCCTTTACGAGACTAACCGTGGTGCGATCTTTTCTTCCGCTACATTTCTACCAGAAGAAAATACAAAAATAAATAGATGCAAATTAAGTGAAGCAAGTAAATATTGGCCTCCATCTTGTCTTCATCAATCAAATGTTTCCCTTGTTTTGCAAGTAAAAGCAAACATTATTTATTTCCAATTGTAAATAGTTAAAATTCTTGTTTTTGTTTTAGTTCAAATAAAATGTTTTAAAAAATAGTATTGAGCATGGCTCATAATTCATTTTAATATTAACCCTCACCACGAGACAAAAAAAGAAGAAAAAAAAGAAAAAAAAAAAGAATGAGCACACTAAAAATATCATTTAGATATTCTTATAAAATATTGTTAAAAGTATATAAAATGCAAAGTGATTCAGTATGAGCATTTAAATATTTAAATATGTTGTATTTCATTCACTTAATAATACAAAATGATGTTGCAGCATTTGTCTATTAAAATCGATCTCTGGACAAAAACATTTATCATTTTAGGGAATATTTTAAAATATATAATGACAAAGTGACATTATGCTAGTTTTCCTTGTCAAGTTAAGCTGAATTGCATAGATATTTTAAACGATTGACCATCTGGTGACACTGTAAAAATTAATGTTTAAGATATAATATACCTCTGTCCACTCTTTTTATGAATTGAACGTTACAAGTAAATTTCAATCATAAATCATAAAATTGAAAAGAATTATGTCAAAATGTAAACTTATTTTAACTTTCACCTGTTCACTTACTATATACCATTGAACTGACATTATGTCACTTTAATAGTGAACAGTGCAGACCGTGATCTAAATGCACGGGTGCAACTGCAACATTCTTTATAGATTCTTCATTTCTGGTCGGCATGGTAATATTAAATGTGTAAAATTTTTTATTAGGTATGCTATTTAATAAGTAAGAATGTTGTACGTAAGCTAGAATAATAATTACGATTAAACACAAAATGGTATTCATCTACCACAGTATTTGTAACTGATGTGATCAAATGCAGCATTATTTTAAACACTCATTTTTATAACACCAGTTCCTCATTAGTATCATAATAAAAATAAACACCAACTTATGCTTTTCAACTCACGCATTTTCCTTAATAATGATAAATGAAAAACGGGAAAAGAAACTCAAGCAAAGCTGTGGAATTTCAAGTGGCCTTGTTTTCAACGAAAATTAAGTTTAACCCCGTCATGGGCAAGCCGTTGTTTCTTTGTGCAAGAAACTAAACAGGCATTTTCCAGGAACGGACTCTACTGTTTCAATTAAATAAAAAAAATGTAACTTATATCTACCAACACAATCGAACTAATAAAATCGTATAAACTTAATTTATGCTCGTGAAATCTCGGAATATTTCGTCAGTTTCCGTGCCCAGTAGTCGTTGTGGATAGATGGAACACGTTAATCCCAGTGTATATTGAAACATTAACTATGTTAAAGTCAAATTATACATTAAAGAATAATGGAAATATTTTCCTTTTTGTTTTAATAACTTCACTATAATTTTCGTTGTCACATTACAGTTCCCAAAATATAACTCATTGAAGATCTTTTTACTTCCAATACATTTTGGCACTTTATAGTGATTTACTGTTTTGTATGGAATTTAAAACACTACTTTTTACATTTTGCTACCTTATTCAGAAATTATTTCACGTTCGACCCTATTTACTTCAGACAGGGTCTTTCAAACAGAAAGAAAAACCCTGCTTCAGGTGTAAAGCATTTAATATGTTTTAAATTCATGATAACAAAAATTACAAAACACATGTTTGCCTTTTATACAGAAATAAATAACAAAAAGATCTGACGCTGAATGTGCCATTAAGTGTCTTTACTAGATATGCTTCTATTTTACTATTTTCTCCTGTGCCTGAGGGATTGCCTTTAGGGATTTAGGCATCCTGTTTTCGGTTTCATATGACCTAAATTGTGTTGTTGTGCCGTAAAATCAAAACAATATCTATATTTACTATTTTCTGGATAACCATGTTGCCGTTTTGTTTTAAATTTCACATATAATGTAATGCGTTGGGATG